CAGCAGGAAAGGAGAGCTGTACGGAGCGGTTAGTATCCAAGTCAGAGATCAGCCTGGGTGATCCAGAGAGAGATTCTTTTGTCCTCAACAGAGGAGGCTTTATCTTTACTGCTGTAGCTGCTCTGTCAACTCTGAATCGCAACTAGTAGAAACTATTGTACACAACCAGTTTGCACCAGGTTCTGCTCAAGCGCATTAGGCAAAATATTCTTTGTTGATTAAAATGACACCTACTGTTTTTCCAGAGGGAGTTTGGCGTTGACTGCACCCTGAAGGAGCGCATTGAGGAGAACGGCTATAACACATATGCATCAGCCAAGTGGAGGAACAAGAAGCGGCAGATGTTTGTTGGTCTAAATGTCCACGGGAAGCCACTAAGAGGGAAGAAGACCCACAGGAAGAACACATCCACCCACTTCCTTCCAATTTTGGTGCGAAGTGGGGAACACTAGCGGAGAGGGAAAACATGCAGCACTGGACAGAGACGTTAATATTGAAAATCTGTAAAATAAAGACTGACAAAACTCTTGTTTGGAAACAAGGCACTAACACTGTTATGCAAAAACATGGCCTCTGCTCCTGACTTTGATTTAGATCATGTTTTTTATTTGGTGAGAGAAGGTAATATTTGTGTTTTCTGTGGCAGGGGATGCGATATTTATCTTTTTTTTTCTGTGCCAAAGTTTGCGACTGGAGTATGTGTGTAATGTGGACAACACAGAAGACACTGTCCCAACTAACAGCTACAGATGCAGTAGTATATCTCAGAATGTTATTTATAATCCAGATTCTCCTGTCAGGCATGTAGAAAATGACTACATCAAAATGAGGGAAATGATTGGTCAGTTTATCATGGCAATGACGTATAATCAAGGACACCACACATTTAAAACAATGTTTCATACATAACCACTGTGCTTTGACTGTATTGTAATGATTTATTTATTTTGTGAAGTATTTAACTGGAGTGGAACACTTACCAGGCAACCTTTCCTTTGCATACTTTACTTTTTATAGGAACTATTATGTGAAAATAAATAAATGAAACTATTTTCTCAGGTCGTCTTTCTTACTCTGTACTGGTGGAGAAGTGGCACAAAAAAGTTTTACCACAAGTAAACCCTGGGGAATGTTTGGGCCATGCTTACCATGAACCAGGGTTTCACCAGGGTCTCTTCTTATCTGTCTCTCTGAGGTAAAAAGGGACAAGAGGTGAGCAAGCCAGATATTCCATGTGGCAACCATTGCACTAATGATTAGCTCCCAAACAAACGATGAACATACAAGACCGACCACAACAAAATAAGAGGGAGGTGCCTTCCCTGGTATGGCCTGTAGATGCTGATGTTTTTTTTTTTTCTAATGTTACCCCATTACTATGGAGCTACAACATTCCCTGTTGCAGGAGACCTTGCATAGTAAACATAGCTGCTAAAGCACCTGCTGATAATACTCGCAGAAAACAAGAAAACAGTTTTGTCATGTTGGTCTGCATTACTATTGCCTGTGGGTCTGGAGGTCTAAATGCATGTGAGAAAGAATAAATGTGAATGAGAGGAAAAGAGAGACATGACCTGCATCAGAAGACTCCTCTCAGTAATCATCCACAAACACACCAATCAGTGACAGCTGATGCCAGATCAAAAAACTACAGGGGGAACATTACCACCACAGGCTTCCGGGCCTCATGGGAACATCTGTCTCGGGACACTCACGACAAAGTGGGAGGCAAGACAGAAAGGTAAGAGAAGGATTTCAAGAGGCTGCTGCCTTCATTCCCAAACACATCCAAACTGGCCTGTGAGTGTGACTCCAGACTGGGAGGAACAAAAACAACAAATGTGATCTTAACTGCAAGAATCCAAAATACAGGAACATTATAGAAATGTGTCCTTTAATGGCTGTTTAAAGGGCCCATGGCATGTTTTTCCTTGCTTTTTAACTTATCTACAATGTTACAATGGTGAAATCCCATCTTAGACAAGACCTAAAGCTAAAAAATGAGGTGTATGTGTGTTCTAGTATTTCTATGTAGTAGCACTGGGTTTATACACTGTTTATACACATCTTGCAAACTCTCGCAAATGAGACTTTTTTCTGACAAAATAAAGTAAAATAAATAAATCTCTTTTCATCTGTACATATACCATTGTTTACCTATCTATGGAGGATGAGTTCAAATTAATTAATGCTGTTGTGGCTCATTGTGCTGTCCACTTGCGACACAACACCGGCAGCAGGAGCTGTGCACATTCACAAATTTTCCTCTCATTTTAAGGAAGAGGCTTTTTGGCTTCCTGATTCTGAAACAATTACAATTAGGAGTTATGAGGGGTGTCAAACTAATTTAGAACTAATATGGTTAGAAATGAGCAAAATGAGCACGCCACGGGCACTTTGAAGATACTGTCGTGAATGTGACCTTAAAGGTGCAACAACACATGTCACAATCACTTGACAGAGCAGAGAAAATGAAAAAGACAGTGCTGTACATGATGCAGTCATGGTCATGAAATAGTATTCCACATGTTGCCAGTGGCCTTGACTGTCATGCACTGAGGTGTTCCTCGGTATCAATCATTCATCACGCTGATGCCGTAAAGTGCCCCTGGCATGCTCATTTTGTTCATTTCCAGCCCTTTAATGTTTAATCTTGTGCATAGAAATACTAGAACACACATACACCTCATTTTTTGCACTTTAGGTCATGTCTAAAATGAGAATTCACTGTTGTACATTGTAGATAAGTCAAAAAACAAGGAAAAGCATGTCATGGGCCCTTTACGATACTGTATATTTTACTTAACATCAGAAGTTCATCTCAGGGCTTTTGTATGTCATTTCTATTTGAGTTTAGAGAAATACATGTAGTTATTTGGACTATATTCCAAGGTGTTTTATAGGGAAAGTATTTTTAAATGTTTCAATTTAAATTTTTCTTTGTCTTAAATCTTTTCTAATTAGGTACCTAGTAGTAGCTGGTTCATGGCATGAATCTACATTTTTTGCTTTTAAAATGTGGTGATGAATATGTGCCAAATTCCCCTGTCAACATCAGTGCTATAGTCATTTGTCATCTTCTGCATTCCCGAGATTTGTGAATGTTTAAACTCCCTCCAGGACACTGGGATGGGGAGAAAAACAGCACTAACAGAAAATAGAGGCTGTAATCTTTTATCAAAGTGAGTCTCTGCATTTCTGGCATGGGAATTCTCTGTGGCATAATGTGAACCAGCTTTGGGAAACAAGTGGAAAATGACTGGAGGCCAAAACAACTAATGAATACTTACACTGAGAGGTCTGGTGCAACACATGTTTGTAGTGGGCAGCTACTGAGTAAGCTTGGAGAGAGGACCTTCTGAGGAGGTTGTATAGGTCCAGAATCGTCTCTTGTCTGACTTATCATTTAAATGAAGCTATCCATGACACTTTAGTGATTTTACACAATTTAAGCAGGTGCTTACATAAAATTTTAAATTTATGAGACTTGGTTTTAAAGACAGAATCAGGTTTCTCTCTAATGTGACTCTGAGCAAAGACAAAACAAGTTAAGTGAAAATAAAATCAAAAGATCTAGTATTTCTCCACCAGACGTCTTATCAGTGTAGAGAATTATTTGAAACAGCATTGAGAGAGATTATGAAAGATTAAATAGATTAATTAATTAATCAATTGTCATAGAGGGCCTGGGTTTTGCTGGGGAATTTGGACTTATGTCTTAAGTATTTTTATTTAAAAAAATTAAAAAAAAAAAAAAATAAAAAAAAAAAAAAAACAAGTATTTATTTATATAAAGCTCAGATGGGAAGGACGAATCTGGAAGGAGAAATACTTCACCTACTCTCCCAGAACACCCCTTTACATTATCATAAAAATCATAACCCAAAACCTATAGAGTACTTGATGATTACTTTTGCTAATAAAAGAATATGTATGAATATTTTTAAACTGTAAGAATTTGAATACTCTGTTCACAGCTCAGCTGATGATTTCGTGTAGGCTATGTAATTTGTGACCGCACCTCAACTCCAGACCACTAGAGGGAGACAGTTTTATTTTGATAGCAAACACTGCTGTGGACAGTGACAGTGAGTTTATGATTAAAGGAAGTGGCCATAAAAAGTTGTGTATTTACTATCCGACCGAGAGAAATCCATAATGAAAGATAGATAGAGCGTGTTTTGATGTGATAAAACACAAGCAAAAACCGCCACTCAAAGGCGAAAGGAGCAGTAGGTTCGAGATCAGCATTTCTTCACCCTTTGAGAGTTGAGGCTGACAAACCAGCAGTCATGACCGAGAATTTCGACCGAGCTCCGGGGGCAGGGAGAATCCGTAATATTCCAGCAGACACCGAGGTCGTGGGTGCACAGGCGGACGTTGACGACAAAACCAACTTCTTCATCCAAAGGGAACCGCTGAGACAGCCGCGAACAGCCCCGCCCTTTGCTGACAACGTTAACTCAGTCAGCAACATGGTTGATGGAGGTAGGAAGGTGCCCACTAGCTAAAGCCAACGCTAACTGGGTTATGTTCGCTAACCAGCGATTCGATTTGTATGAAGCATAAGTTAACACAAATGTTGCTCGCCCATATGACCACTGAAGGCCAAAATGTATTTGCCCTAACTTACAATTAGCCCCAACCTTTCCTCCAGCTGTCCGTCCCTGTCAGAAGCGTAGGGGTTATTTGATAAGATTTAACACCTTATAAATGTGAAGCTGTCATTAGCTAGCTATCTGCTACGTTAGCTTAGCTTAGAATTGTGGTGTTGCGACTTGCACCTGTTGGGTCGTTCATGTGGGGTAAGGTCTAAATAAAGCCCCCATTTGGATGTCACGTAGCTTAGTTATGTGCCACAGTTAAGGCTGTAGCTAATACTGGCTATAGCTAACCTACCGTTACATTCATTTAGCAATACAGAGCACTTCCCCTTCCATATATCAGTGGAGTAGGTTTGGGCGATATCAGAGTTTCGATCCAATACCAAGTTATAAACTGGGTCAGGATAAATAATTAAAAGCAGCTAATGTACTATAACGTAATGGAAGAAAGGCATATATTTATTAACAACATTATTAATGGACCTCTTCTGAATAGATTGCCAGACGTGAGGCATTTTTCCTGTTAATTACCTCACATACATGTTTAAACACAAGACAGTTTTAAATGTAAATACCAAATGTCCATTATGTGAATTCATGAAACTGAGGCCATCACTGTGCAGATCCAACTGATGCCAGTATCAATAGTTAAAATAAGACTTTATATCGGCAGTACTGATCCACCCACCCATAGAGTAGTGTAGTAAAGAACCAATATTAATTATCAGCTATAAAACTGTATATCAGAATTTCTGTAATAATAATAATAATAATAATACAATTGTCAGTGCTGTAACAGTCAGTATGGTCACGGTCAAAACCATGTAATTACATAAACGGGTCTGAAAAGCACAACCTATTTTGTACTGCTTGTAAAATTGTTATCAGCCATACAGGTGGAAAATATTACATATTGGCATTTGCTGCTGAAAAACATATCACTGTAGTTTATAGCTAACATGAACCAGTATAAATCTGAGCACTGCCAGCCAACCTACCCCACACATTGCTCCACTTTACATAGGTCTGGGAATTGGAGGCACATCTCTGCTGCCACTCCAGGTGTGACACAGCTAATGTGTGTTTGTGTGGTGTTTTCCCACAACATCCCTTCTTCCTGAGCTTTGAGGCAATGTCTTCGGGGCCGTAGCTGCAAAAGTAACAGAGCCAGTTCATATCTGACATTGTACTCTGTATTACACATGTTGCAGCACTTAGGGGTGCTGCTGCCATAAATACACATTAGTGCACATAGTCCCCAACAATTGCATTATTTATACCTTTTGAAGTAACAAAACCTCTGACCTCCACTTTTTTAGAAAATTATTGAGCTTTTTTAAAAAGTGAATTTATGTTTGTGATTTATTTTTTAAGATTTGTGTTTCTGTTAGGAATGAACAGTTGCCAATAACACTCTTACCTGCCTTATCTATATGAAGAGAATTTACCCATTTGTATGAATAGTGTCATGTATATGGAAGCATGCAAACCTCTTTCTTCTGACTCTTTCAGACAGTAAAAGACAAAACAAACCCCTACAAAGTGCAAATGCCAACAGTACGTCTGCCTTCAGAGAGTGCAAAGAAGTGAATTTCTTGGTGAAGTCATCAACGCTTTCAGCCAGTGCTCCAGAGTTTGTCCCCTCTGGAACAAACCTGTATGAAGTAAGTGGAATTTTTATGCCATCATTGCATTATTCCTGATACTATTACTCATATTTATTATTAAGCAACATTATATGGTTCACATAGTTTCTGCTGTTAGCTTCCCAGTAAAAGTCAGGTAGCGGTGCATCCATCATTATTCGATCAGAATATCATATACATATTTTATTATGTAGTTCTGGTGGCAAAACAAGGTTTTCTGATGCATTTAAATTTTGCAGCCCTTTGTACCACCATAAGATTCATTACTCAAAGCCTCTTTTCACATAGTGTTCATTGGTGTCTAGTGGTAAAAGTAATTAAGAGCCACCAGATCATAAAGGCTCATGTGCTACTGCTATAGCACAGATATTACTAACATGTTGCAGCACTTTGTGCTAATGCTTAATCAAATATGGATTTTTAAGTGCATATAAAGGCCTGGGGTCATGTGACAGTAATGAAACTAATTAATGTTTTTGCATTAGCATGACCAAGTACTCTGGAAGTTTCTATTATAATGTTCGTATTCCTCTTTTAATTTTTGTACAGTACCCCAACTCTGGTGATGACAGTGAAAGTTACTACACTGAACCAACTTTAGCTGATATGGTCACAGACTTCCTTGACCACCTGAGCTCCTCACCAGGTTCCTTTGACTCGGATATTGAATACATAACTGGCATGCTCAACTCCTGGGTTGTTTCTGAAGAGTTGTTGGAGGAGCTGGTCGAACTGATCTTCACACAGGTTTGGAGATGCACAATAAGTCCTCAGTTTGTCCTTTATATAAATATTGAATAATACGATCAAACCTGTGTAAACACAGCATACATACAAATGTAAATATACATGCCTGTTTCTGACTAAACACACAGCTGTATAAGTTACCCCACTGAGTGTTAATTTCTCCTTTCATTGCAGTCCACCGCCATTCCAAACTTCTCTTACACGGGTGCCAGACTCTGTAACTACCTGTCCCATCACCTGACTTTTAGCTCACAGAGAGGCAACTTTCGTCAGCTGCTTCTGAAAAGGTGATTTTATTTAACTGATTTTTAATGTTGTTAAATAATTAGATTGTTGATAAAGCACAGCAGTGTTTTATTAAATGATGCTGAAGAAGTAGAAAATGTTACTATCACACAGGAAGTAGAAATGGAAATATTTTTAATTCTTACATTAATACAAACTACTAGCTTTTGGATGACAAATCCTGGAATAAAGTCAGTGTGCGAAGCAGCATAAAGTGTCATTGTTGAGTCAAATTGGGATTAAAGAGGAGGAATGTTGTCTGTTGTAGATGTCAAACAGAGTTTGAGAAGAGGGGTGTAGCTGTTCGAGGAGACCTGGAAACTCAGAAGAAGTTCCACTCCTTTGTGCTCTTTCTGGGAGAGCTGTACCTTAACCTGGAGGTAAGAGGTTCTAAGCTTTTATAGGGTTTTGTTTGGGACAACATATTATCCACCTTAAAGTTGTGTAAATGCATTTATTTATACAGTTTATTCAATTTTACTGAACACAATATTGACTTTTTTCTGTCCCGTTATTTATTTGGACTGTGTCTGGCCCTGCATTTTGCCTCACGGTACTGCATATACATATTGAATGTTTAAGATGTTTGGTGCCACTGATAATGTAGTTTACAAGCTGTCCACCTTTATATATATATATAGCTTTGGGTTTTTGGGTTCATAAAACACCAACACCAGAATATGTTCATAGCTTGAATCTTTTTATTGTCAGTCATTTGTTGACATTTATGTCAATCTGATTTTGCTCATTTAGATAAAGAGTGGTAAAGGGCCTTCAAGTAGAGCACATATCCTCCTCGATGCTCTGTATGAACTGATGAAGAGTCTGTTCTCCAGTCCCACGGATGCAAACCTCATCTGTGCTGTCAAACTGCTTAAGGTTTCAAGTCTCAGTTAGACACATTAACAGGTTTGCACTGAAAGCTTGCCAGGTCATTTTGGGGTGTAATGAAAATGTTTTACAGCTAACAGGCTCCGTCTTGGATGATGCGTGGAAAGAGAAGGGAATATCACACATGGAAGATTTGATCCGAAGAATAGAAAATATTCTACTGGATGCCACCTGCAGCAGGTGTGTATATCAGTGTGTTAACATAACCTTAGGTTTATTCATTCATTCATTTTCTACCGCTTAATCCCTGAACGGGGTCACGGGGGGGCCAGAGCCAATCCCGGCCGGCAATCAGGCGAAGGCAGGGTACACCCTGGACAGTTCGCCAATCCATCGCAGGGCTAACACATAGACGAACAGTTCCGCACACGCGCACACGCACTCCTGTGGGCAATTTAGAGACACCAGTCAACCTAAGCTGCATGTCTTTGGACTGTGGGAGGAAGCCGGAGTACCCGGAGAGAACCCACGCAAGCACAGGGAGAACACGCAAACTCCACACAGAAAGGTCCCAGGTGGGGCCCGAACCCGGAACCTTCTTGCTGTGAGGCAACGGTGCTAACCACTGCCCACCTTAGGTTTAGTTAGATTGAAATATGCTTTTGTATCTGAGGTGCTGTAAACTGTGCAACATCTGCAGCAGGTGATTGTATTGAAGGAATATTCTATAATCTATTTATAAAAACATCAATCAAGTGTATTAGTTTTCAGTTCCAGTTTTACACACAAACAACATCAGTAACATGAATCAGAAGTCAGCCATAAACTAGCACATGGTTGAATGGGAAAAAAAGCAGAACAGGTGAGAGTTCACCCCCATAGATTCTCTGATTGAATGTTTCTGACATGAGCATTTTCCTCCTCAGGGATGTCAGACAGATGCTTCTGAAGCTAGTCGAGCTGAGGTCCAGTGACTGGGGCAGAGTCCGTGCTGCTGCAGCAGCCAGTAACGCCACACCAGACAATGACCCCAACTACTTCATGGTGAGAGACACCTGCATCATATTCTATACTTTATTTTTTTATCCTATTTTTCTGTTAGTCATGATTTAGTTGTCCTCTTCTCAGAATGAACCTACATTCTACACAGAAGATGGCACACCTTTCACAGCAGCAGACCCAGGTGAGGCTATGTAGTCAGCTGTCTTCATTCCATCACAGGCACTGTGGACACACAAGGTCGTTCACAAGGACTTGGAGTAAATAAATAAAGACAACAACACAAGAAAAATAGAAAATGGTTACTATACAGTTTCTGCATACACCCAAAAACTTGAAGACAGAAGGCTGAATATTAAATTAGTTTGTATTGTTTTTAGACATATAATGTTAATAGTAACCATAAAATCATGGTTTTGTAACTGAAATAACTGTTCATAGTTTAACCATGTTAAACTGGTTTTGAGGCAAGGGATTGTAATTCATAGTTAATATCAGTGTGCACAATTGAAATTGTAGCTATGATCCTTTTTTAATACTATGCTTCCATTAAACATGCTAGATATTCTTCTTCTTTTTCTTCTTTCGGCTGTTCCCGTCAGGGGTCGCCACAGCGAATCATCTGTTTCCACCTAACTCTATCCTCGGCATCCTCTACTCTCACCCCAATTAACTTCATGTCCTCTTTTAGCACATCCATAAATCTCCTCTTTGGCCTTCCTCTTAACCTCTTGCCTGGCAGCTCCATGTCCAACATCCTTCTACCAATTAACCACTATCCCTCCTCTGCACATGTCCAAACAATCTCAATCTGGCCTCTCTGACCATGTCCCCAAAACAGCCGACCTGAGCTGTCCCTAGGCATTTAGACTTAACCTGGTTCTCTCCACAGCTAAGTAACTGAATAAGTAGGAAAAAAAAGTCCCCGCCACTTTAAATTGATCTTCTGTATATTCTATAAGTACATTGCAGCCATTTTGTCCCTGAATGTCTGTCTGCCGTTACAGAATATGCAGAGAAATACCAAGAGATCCTGGACAGGCAGGACTATTTCCATGATAGTTATGGAGAAAATGGAGATGACTTGTAAGTAAACACTGCTGGTATACAATAATATAGAGGGGTCATACATATCTTTCTTTTAGGTCACATCACAGTCACCTATTTTAGTGGGGGACCTGTTGATGCTTGTTGCTGTGGATAACATTCAAGGATATGGCCATCCCATCTTAATTCTGTTAATTAAAATACCTTTCATTTTTTGTTTAGTTTATTTGGCCCAAAACAAACTCCAATACTTATGTACATACAGTCAATCCTCAGTCCAATAGAAAATGTGTGTTGTATTCACAGATACGATTTTGAAGATGAGATGGAGCCGGAGATCGAAGAAGCTTTTGAGAATTTCTGTTTAGAATCAGAGAGGAAACGACAGCAATGACGCAAGAGTGAAAGTCGAATACTCATCAGGCACATATTGTACATATCTCATTCAACTTGCTGGTACGTTCAAAAGCAAACCAGTCGAAGAGGAGTTTGAACTCATTTTAATGCAAACAAGCATTTTAACATAGACTTGTTCATAGTTGCACTTTTTTCAGTCTGTTCATTAGAAAATGGGGACAATCAATGGGATAGTTGTTTGAAATGCTAAAGTATTAAGACTGTTTGATATGGACGTTTTCTTTGCTGTTTTTAATTCCTTACACCTAAACTAAACAGCAAGAGGGAAATAGTGTGCTGTGAATTTTTTTAGAGTTCCTTTCCAAATGGCAAATAAGTTTACTCTGTGTGCATTGTTTGGTAGATTCTGAAGAATGCCCCATGCATAAGGCTCAGTATATGTAGCTTTATTGTAACAAAACTCAAATGCAAAAAGTACGTATTGTTATCCCTAAGATGAAAGACTGTTTACCAGCAATCCCTGGAATCCATAAAATGGAATGTTGTCACAGTTTGTAAATATTTATATTATTGTTTGCTTGCAATAAATTCTTTATAAGAGATTGATTTGTGAGCCTTTTTTAGTTAAAGGCTATACACAGTGACTACATCCATGTATTTGGTACAGCCAAAATAAGTTGATGTTAAGTGAACTAAGAATCACAGAGTTTATAATACACTAGAACAGCTTATGAGTAATTTAATGCACAATGCTTAAGTTAATACTATTTTTTTTGAGTGTCAGAGAAGTGTGCAATATAAATTAGCTTTACTTACTAAAGGGGCTTTCAGATAGGATGTGGTGGGCGGCATTGCTAGACAAAGCTCTACTGGGGCACACGACCCTCATTACTCAAATCACAATTTTAGGTTAAACACAATTTCTGAATGAATTCCCTCAGTTTGTTTTTGCCTCTGGATATGTTTCCTAATTTTCTGGTGTCCAACCAAAGTATATGAGTCAATGCAGGTTATCTGCTGCTCTTGGCAGACTCAACAAACAACTGTAACCTTGGTTCTCATAATTCAAAACACTTGCGGATGTGCCCCCTCTGCAAGGCCCTTATTGATGATTGGATGATTGGTCCGCCTTTCCCGCCATTGATAATCAGACGGTGTGTAGATAAAGGAATGGATTTTCAAGCTCAGCGTGATTCAGATGTCCTCTCTGCTGAGTTTCTGATTCATAATCAAACACTGGGCTGCCAGGAGGAGACGGTGTCCACATTTTGTGACCACAAACAGGCTGATGTTCACCATTTGCTAAGATTGTAGTCAGTTATTTGTGTCAGTCATTTTTTTCTCATTAAAACAGATTTGCAATTGTAAAATTTGCTGTTTCTATCTTGGCCAGTGGTGTTTGGCTTAGTGTTTGTTGCCGCCATAATAAAACTGAATAGGCCTTATTGGTTGGATAAAACAGTCCTGAGAAGATCTCAGCAGTGGGACTATTGGTGTGTAGAGGCTTCAACACATTATGGAAATAGATTTTGTATTTTTTTTTCTAAATAAAATCAGCCTATATAGGCCTATATAAATATTCACTTAGTAGTTTGTCTGGTGACTGTTTCTCCTGATCTTCCAGCTGTGTGCACTAGAGGGTGTTAGAGCATAACCATTCATTTTTAGGGCTTTAATTCTGCTTTAATAAAGACTAAGTTACAATCTTTACATCTTGACAAGAGTGTGTGTGTCAGTTGTTTCTACTCTGTTTAAATATAGGGCAGCAATGAATTATGTTCTTTATCAATTAATATTAATAAGTTATTTTTTAATTAATAGATTAACTGTGATGTCCACCTCAATTCATCCTCTGTAATGTATGTAAATAGTCAAACACTGAATATCATAATTATGTCAAGTGTAACACCACTCACTCATGGAGTTGGAATCAACACCTCATTTACCAGATCTAAATCTCATTTTGAGATTTAGAAGATTCTGTCCACCCTGTTCACTTAGCTGTGCTCACCATATTTCCACCACTTAATTTTGAAATTTCTAGTGAAATCCTTATCTTGTGTTTAAGAAACTCTAAATTGTGTCTTTTCTTTACATGTCTCTGTGAACAATGCATAAAAATAAGTTGAAAGATATTGTATTTCTGAATGACTGGGTGGTATTCCTCATATTTGCAAAAAGAAAAAAGCATGTTTTGCTTATGACTTTGAAAATATTCAAGACATATAATCAGGCCGTACTACAAGCTGCAAGCAGCTGACTAAAAATCTGATTTTATTTTAAAAGTAACTGGGCCTACCTCTTTGCATTGTCTGATGAACATTGAATGACTGTTACCTGACCACATATACTTAGTCTGCCATCAGCTGGTAACTTTGTGTCTGTGCAGCACTCTCCAGACAAATTAGTGCACATCTTTTGTTCATAGTTGAATTTAGTCAAAGTAGGCTCGTACTTTGCAACATGACCTGCTGTCATCAGGACAGCATTCCATCAAAATTCAGAAATGTACTGAGAATATGAAAAATAAACACACATATCTGCCAGTCCAGCACAATTTACCGTTCTGATTCGGAGCGAATGGAAAGACAAGGCTGATTAATTTCACAGGGTTCTGGTAGTTGGATTGTACAAAGTTTCACTACTGTGTTTTATTGCTGTTTTTAACACAAGCAATAAAAAAAATTGTTACTTGCAATCATTTGGAATATAAAACTAATTCAGTAGTTTATTTGCCTTCAATCATGGCACTCAGTGGTAAAGTATGAGCTCTGACCAGCCAGAACTCTGAGCTATTAAACGTTTTGTTGTGACTTTGGTGATATAATGATTTTAAGTACACAAATGTTGTTATATTCAGTTGTTTCACTTTTTTAAGCACTTTAAATTTGCTAAAAGTCAACTCACTTTGCCAAACAAGTGCTTAAATCTGTTTAATACCAGGTACTTAAAAAGGTTCGTTTTAAAAACTGTCAGTTTCACGATGCAGGATGATCGAGTTAAAATCTTCAGGCTGTATTAGTCTTTGCCGCCACCTGTTTACAAAGCTGAGTAACATTGTGAAAGTCAGCAGTCATTCATTGTTAAAAAAATAAAATTCAAAACCCAGGACTTTTGATATTTAACGAACATTTAATCACAATTTGTCTTTACTTAGGCTAGAAAGTTAGTATTGTGATATTATTAATTGAATAAGGCTTTAATTTATTTGTACACTAGTTAGTGTGAATGTTGCAAGCAACATTAGAGTAACCCCTTACTTTCCACAGCACATCTGGTAGTTCTATTGCATCAGCTGTGGGCTGAGTCAACAGGAAGCAAGGTAGTTAATCTTTCATGTTTTATGTTAGTTTTTGCTGACAATCTAACAGCCTCCTGGACTTAAGTCCGCATCCCTTAGCACAACATCTTTTATATTTAACCATTGTGCCATTTTGTTTGTTCACATTGTAGAGAATGCGGACTTCTACCCTCACTTTGGTTCATACAGCCACTTTTTTCTTTATAAAGAAAAGATAAGCAGCCTCTTTGTTACCATGTCAGAAATGTGTGTTCAGAATGGCCTTTAAATTGGTTGCCTGAGTTCAGAGGAAAACTACAAACAAGTTGCCATGACATTCCTTTAACCTTGATGATTCACCACAACTATGTCTATTACTACAATGCAGTAGTTTTTGTTCTGTGCAAATCTTACTAAGCATACAGCATGTTTAAATTGTAAGATTGAGGTGTACAGAAATAGGAATCTAAGGTTTCACACCAAGTAACCACAACAGCTCTACTTTGAGCCCTGTTGGGGACCTTCATTGCATTTGAATCCCCTCTCAAACTAGATAAGTCATCATGTTTAAAATAGTGTTTTACTTTGCTTCAAAATAAAATGTCTTGCAGTGAACTTTAACTAAATTGTTAACATCTGCCAGCTGTTGCATCTAAATGGAAGCCTCTTGCAAAAGTTTAGTGCCAACAAACTGTTGCAGCACTTATCTAGACCACGAATTATTAATACATATCATTATATAGTAATTTGTTTGTGTGTGTACGTGTTCCTGTAATGTACTTGCAGTACAGACCAAAAATGTATTTTTTGCTACAGAGTGAGGACATTTTGGTTGGTCCTCACTTTCTGAAACAGCATTTTGAGGGTTAAGACTTAGGGTTAGGGGTGAAGTTAGAATGAGGTTTAGGTTAGGGTTAGGCATTTTATTCTGCTGGTTAAGGTTAGGGTTAGGGTTAGGGGCTAGGGAATGCATTATGTCAATAGGTGTCCTTACAAACATAGAAGAGTGTGTGTGTGTGTGTGTGTGTGTGTGTGGTGGGGTGGCGTGTGTGCTCTTGAGCTTGAGAAAACACATGGCACATGGCTGATAGATTAATCTGCCACAAACAAGTGGTTGCCAGTTCATGAGAAAGATAATGCATCATCTTGCTCACATTTACAAACAACAGCATTTTTCACTTTTTGTGTTTCTGTTTACTCATGCCAGGAAACCCATCCATCCATCCATTTTCCTCCGCTAATCCGGGACTGGGTCGCGGGGGCAGCAGTCTAAGCAAAGATGCCCAGACTTCCCTCTCTCCAGACACTTCCTCCAGCTCCTCCGGGGGAATCCCGAGGCGTTCCCAGGCCAGCCGAGAGACAGTCCCTCCAGCGTGTCCTGGGTCTTCCCCGGGGCCTCCTCCCGGTGGGACATGCCCGGAACACCTCCCTAGGAAGGCGCCCAGGAGGCAT